AATTCCTATTAAAAATGATAACTTATTTTGCACTCGCGGTAATAAACTGTAATGACTCCTACAGCCCAAAGCACTTACTTGTTTATTTGCGGGCGGGGTTCAACAAGTGTGCCACTCTTTTCTGAACTAGGCGGACTCTCAGGAGTGGCCTCTGCTGGAAATAATGGCTGGCAATTGACAAACTGTTGAACAACACCTGGAAAGCAAGACACGCCATTGTCATTCGCCGAATTATTCTTCGTAATTATTCATAATAATGATGAGGCCCGAAACATACAATAGGTTTATAGTGTTATAGAAGGCGTTTATGAAGACGGGAAATTATTGCTTTCTAAATATAATGTAATTATCTTTCAGTTTCACATTCCTCATGCATTATCTAGGAAGATTTTGGCCTCAATGTTTACTAAAGCAGTCATTCAGAGGTCAGGACATTATATATTTGCCTAAATACAGCATATATAATCTACAGAATATAGCATCCCTCTGTGTCCTGTATTGATATAGAAATGATTTCTGTCAATTATATTTACATTGTTGTAACTGTCGTGTGTTTCGATATTAATGCCCGATTAAGTCTCCAAACCCAACACTTTCTCTTGTGAAATAAGGGTAACGTTTTGTTGCTGTTAGTATAATTTAGTGGAAAATTTGCATGTGTGGTAAAACTGATTGCAGTTCATTTATGATGTCCTCCTGTCTAAACATAACATAACTTGACTGCAAATTAAGTTAGGTAAGACTTAAGTTTGTTTTGGTTAGGCTAAGTTTGTTTTCATTAAGTGCCATATTAGGTTAGTTCGGTTACTACTGGTGATAGCTATACTTAGTTTGTATTATGTTTATCTACATAATTGTTACAGTTTAAAAGACACTTAAAAAAAAACATACATTAAAACTATCGCCAAGACGAAATTATCCCTAAAAGAATGAGATCCACAAACAGGATCAGTTAACTTGTCGTTAAAAACAGTTAAAAACATTCCTAAAATTATCCCCAGGAAACTTATAATTTGGCCTTAAATATGAATAATCGTCATTGTGGACAAGGGCACTTAACTCGGTACATGTATTAGCCTTATCAGGTGAGGCGAGGCGTCAACCTTTAATAATCAGGGAGAGTTTCTCCCTTAGCTATTTCGATATCCTGACATGATAAATACACCTGTTCCTAGTGGGGGCTAATAATTAATTCACGTACTGTATTAGTAAAGTGAAAACAGTTGGGGGAAAGTGGAGGGCGACGGAAGGTGTTGGTGCCTCTACCAACACACCCTTCCGGCAACAGGCAGTTTCACTTTTACTTAAGTGTTAAGTTGATGACGCATATGGAGGTGTGTCGTTGTTCCACAGTACAGTATATCCCAGTGTTCTAATATATCAATTGTACCTTAATACCGTTAGTGACACTCCATACTATACCGAAATATGCTGAACATATAACATTGTTAAATATATATATATATATATATATATATATATATATATATATATATATATATATATATATATATATATATATATATATATATATATATATATATATATATATATATATATATATATATATTACACATATTGCGTCAATGTGGCATTGGGCACTCACAGCTGCCAGCGAAGTTATTCAACCCCTTTTGAGGGGTGTTTGTTGGGTATAGAGGCCAAATGCACAAATCCCATTCGTGTAATAATGCACACACATATGCACACACATATATACACACACATATACAAATGCAATTATATAAACAGATTCACACTCATTAACGCGCACACACACACATTTAGAACATAAGAACATAAGAAAATAAGGAGTCTGCAATAGGCCGGTTGGCCTGTGCATGGCAGCTCCTGTCGAGAGTTACTACCACTCTCTATCATCCATGAATCTATCTAGCCTCCTTTTGAAACTTTCCAGAGTTCCCGCACTTACTACAAAGTTGCTAAGCTTGTTCCACTCGTCCACCACCCTATTTGTGAACCAGTTTCTTCCTATCTCCCTCCTAAACCTAAACTTATCCAACTTGAATCCGTTGCTCCGAGTCCTATCCTGCTCGGATATTATAAGAACTTTATCTATATCCCCTTTATTGATTCCTTTCACCCACTTAAATACTTCTATCATATCTCCCCGCACTCTTCGTCTTTCTAGGGAATGCAAGTTAAGTTTCTTTAACCTATCCTGATATGGAAGGTTTCTAAGTCCCGGAATCATTTTTGTCATTCTTCGCTGCACCGACTCTAGTGAATTTATATCCATTCTATAATAGGGGCACCAGAACTGAACCGCATAATCGAGGTGCGGCCTAACTAGCGCAAGATATAGTTGCAATAAGACCTCTGCACTCTTGTTACTTACACTTCTAGATATAAAACCCAATACTCTGTTTGCCTTATTTCGAACATTAACGCACTGTTTTCTAGGCCGTAGGTCCGGGCTTACAAGTACCCCTAAGGATATTCACTTATTCATACACCCTCTCTCTCTGTCTCTCTCTCTCACACACTCGCATACCTAGATACCAATGAATACACACACACAAAGCCATTCAAAACACACGCACATACACAATTACCATTCGTCCATACAACTTACAATGCCTGATGTAAGCATGAAACCTCCAAGAAAATCGCCCTAATGACACGGTACCATAAAGTCCACAGTAATTCCTCAGCCGCCCCACTTACGTCGTCGCTAAATTGCAGTAAAATTGGATATCATTACTAGCAGACATTACTCCATGGTAAGTGGAAGAATTAAACCAGAAAACCAGAAACAAGAAGATTAATGCAAGTGAAATTTCATGTCATTAGTTAAGGAGGATTCAAAGTGTGTGTCTGTGTCTGAGTGCATGTGTGTGTGTGAGTACGTGTGTCTGTGTGAGTGTGTGTGTGTGTTAAAGGGGCCATCTACCTATCAAACGCCTCCGAGTTTTTGTGTTTAGTAAGTTCAAAGGTTCCAGGTTGGCATGAGACTGGTATGTAGACACACACACACACACACACACACACACACACACACACACACACACACTACAAAACTGTTTCGTGCTGATATGAACACCGAATTAAGAATCGTCAATACAGGTTCATATAGGTACAAGAACAGGTACAGATTTTTTTAAATTATCATGGTGTTCATTATCAATGTATATTATTAAGTCACATAATTTATACAAATATTAAATAAAAACATAATTTGCATTTACTTATATTTTAATTATAATGTGACCTACTTAGTATTGTACTACTGACAGCAGCTAATACTGTTATAGTTGGCTATTACTTATGTGTTAGTTATACATACAAGTACGTCTTTCAATATCTCGTCAAAATATCACCATTGGAAAGTAATCACCCATGAGGCAAATGTAAACATTATTATAATACAAATTTAGGAAATTTTCCATGTGCGTAAGTGTATGTATACTGTCTCTGTTTGAGTGCATGTGACATGTGTTACTAGTGTGTTTTGATGGTTGTACTGTATGTAGTTTAAGAGATGAAGTTATACTTGAAATGTCAATATGACATCTGAGTTTATTGTTCCTACAAAAGTCTTCTCAATTAATTCCTATTTGTAATATAGCATTTGTCCTTGTACAGTGCCGGCGATGAATGAGTTAAGTTGCTGTTTATGATAATTCTGTTACACAAGAACATGTATAAGCTCATGTCGATGATGTAATTGTTTTTAAATTCACGCTAGTGTCTACACAAGCCCCAACATGTAGATAATCTTTGTATAACTGTAAATGAACAATATCATTACTGACCAAACTAACCTATCTTAACTAACTTGACCTAATTTAGATGTACTAAGTTTATTAGGATAAAAAAACGTCGTCCGTTTGAATTATTGCAAGTTTTTTCATATAAGAACTAATTTATATTGTTATTAGAATTAAAAAAATATATACAGTATATATCCACATTTGGGACAAATAACCCGTTTGTTGCGTTTTAATTAACATTTCTTTGGGTTATTATCCCAATTTACTGTATATACATTATACAGTGTATATATATATATATATATATATATATATATATATATATATATATATATATATATATATATATATATATATATATATATATATATATATATATATATTGATAAGTTTGTATTAACTATTTTGTAGTTCCATGGAAATAAATACATTTATGTAGGGACTAATTGTACTACATATCACACATCCTTCTCTATATTAACATAATTAAACTTTACCTAAATTCGATAAGGTTAGGTTAGGTTAAATTGGGTTGTTGAAGGTTAAAATAGATCTGAAATATAATGTAATTATCGCCGTGACGTAAATATTCCTAAAATTCATCACACACGCACACACACACACACACACACACACACACACACACACACACACACACACACACACACACAGCTTCTAGATATGAGTCCTTGTTTCTATCACGAGAGTTGTTTACTATGGTGCCACCATAACAGCCATCAACATGATGCTCTCACCAGGATAATGTTTTTCTTTCTTTTAATATAGTCTCATAATACGTCACCTGAGAGAGCTGTAAGGACCTTAATCATGGATGACAGACACATGATGAGGTGAAGGGTGAATCATGTCGGCGAGATGAGGGAATAAATGGTTCAAGTTTTCCTCAGTATTTGTGTGGCCGCCATCTTAGCCTTGTTTAATTACGTCGAGCGCTGATTGGCTGACGTCCCATCGTACAGGGCAGGAGCAGTAAGGTGACGCGGGAACGTAATCAGTTTCAGAATTCTTCGTCCTTTTATTTATTGATACATGCTTACCCAATATAGAATTAGGGAAAGACTTATCCAAAGAGAAATAAAAGTGTAATTCCAGCAAGTTTGTCATTTTAAGAAAAAACATAAAATTTCGATTAAGTTATGTCTCAAGAGAAAGTGAACTAAATGTTGTGGCAGCTACCTGATGGACGTACAATAGTAGGACTTACCGCTGTTATCGGCCCTGCCTGACCTAGCCAGCGCTCTCGTGTATATATACCGGAGCGAGACTACAGAAGGCACCACAGTCTCCCAGGCCGTCTCAGCACTACCAACTCTACCTGCCATCCTCCAAGAAACGTAACTCAAGGTGAGACTTTACGTCCTGAAGCCTCCTCTTTACATCTGACTGTAGGATCCAACTCCTTGAACCAACAACAGCAGTGCCTGGTCGAGGGATTGATATAGTGCAACAGTAAAGTGCCGAGGAGACGGTTTTGACGGTGCCGGAACAGTGCTACGCTCAAGCATAGTTTATTGTATGTGTCCCATGTACAGATTACTAGTGAAACACGTCTTAGTTACCTGAAAATAACTAACCTTCAGCATCATTCTTCATTTCATTATCATCACTATCGGTATAATAACTAGTTGATGCTATAGACTTTGGCAGTCGACTTTTTTATTTTGGTTACTCTTATTGGTGCGAATCATGATTACAAAATGTGAAATGCAGTCCACATTCTGATAATGTTCTCATGTAACATAAGTTTGATGGCCGAATATTTAAATCTGCCATAATATCTCTAGTAAATATTAATGGTTATTCAATCAAATGTATTTGCGCTTTGTTCAGTGTCTTGTAAGTTAGAAGGTTTATTAATGAGAAAGGGGAATATGATATTGATACAAGCGCTTCGTTGATACCAGAGTTTGATAAGACCAATGTTTAATACATACGTTACAAGTGTCAAGATATGATGGGCACTTATTTATTCTCAGATTATTACAACAACTGACACAGATAAATCGAGTTTCACATTAGAGTAACACTGAGGTTCTGACACCATAGTTCCCTTTGCTCTCCTATGTTGCCTCACATTCAGTAACTGTTCTCCCCATGCGGTAAAGTTCAGACATAAAACAAAAACAAAAAAAAGGGGAATTATCTGTTTGAACTGAATGATTGAACACAGAGACTAATACCAATATCCTTTCATCCTTCTTAACAGATGCATTAAAGCAAACTGAATATCTACACCACATTAAAAGTAATAACAATAATTTACACATCAAGATATTTTTACGAAATGTATCAGGTTATCAGTTGCCAGAGAACAATTAAGAGAGAGTAAATACTGTCTGTCCAATAGTAAGATATGAATCACAAAGCTGAAAATCACACAGCACAAGGTTACTCCAGTGTGTGTGTGTGTGTGTGTGTGGTAGCTTCATGGTAACGGAACAATAACAGCTGAGTAACGGTAACTGGAGTAAATGATACGGGAGGGTGGGAAGAGGGAAGGGGAGGAGGGGGATAATAGTTGAGGCGTGACTTGTCCTGGTTTTCATCATCACACTTTTTCCCTGTCAAGCAAAACTAAATCGTGCTATAATTCTTTCTAAATACATAATACAGTATTTGCATTTTACGTGATATTAATTTTATTTTCCATGTTAAGGGGAAATACAAATTTAACGAGTAATTTGATGATAATAATTTACATATCAGGTGTCATCCGTATTCAACTTTTGCCCTACAGGTAATTTTCCCATATTTTTAGTTGACCTTTGCCGTCGCCTCGTGCGGATCATATTCCCATACAGTGATTGTTACGCTGTTAAAGTCAAGAGTAATATGTAAATACTACACCCTTAACTATAACATTATTATCTCCTCCGTACACTGGATATTTTTTTTTTTTACTGTTGGGAAATTATTCTTATTAAGCATCAAACAATGCATAGATTTCTGAACACTGTAAGTGAGTTTATCATAAAGACGAGTCATGATTGGTCAAGTCCACCAGATGGTATAACAAGGCAAACATTGTCTGTCAGTGTTTTCTTATTGCACCATTTTAATGTTGATCCATAACGCTGGAGGGCGACATAACAGTGGTCAGAACTGAGTCTGGTTGGCTGAGAGTTTGGTGTAACAATGAATGGCCGAACACCTGAGATGATTCATAATGGTATACTGAAACTGATGCACTATATAATTCATTGATATCATGCCCGTAGTCTTTTTTATTATTAACCTGCTAATATAAAAAAAAATCAGATTATAAGTATCTTGCAACTGGTATTGTAGTTATTATTGTTAAGATCTAAAGAATCAGTCTTCATAAATGCCTTAAAGACATGATATTTTTATATATAGTAGCTCGCTAAATATAAATGGAAATCTATAATGACCCGTATAAAACAATCAGCCAGAAGGAACTTGGTTTAACAAAGTATTCTGTCCAACACTGGTCTAAAATCGCTCACGTGAAACACAGCTTACAGTACCCCCTGACACACTCCCTCAGTTTCTGGGAGCGGACGACTCCTCTATATCCCTGTCAGTGTGTGTATGGTCATGGCTGAGGGTGGGAGTTATTGTCTGCCTGTGTACTTTAGTGAGTTGAAGACACTCTATGGACCTTGTGATCTGACGTCATCATCACAACTACAGTGGCAGTGTAACGTGTGTGTGTGTGTGTATGTGTGTGTGTGTGTGTATCAAGCTCCACTTATCATTCTTAGGATTTTTAAAATATATTACAGAAAGTTCGATGTCAGTGAGCTTATTTTAACTATCTAAGTGAATTTCACCTCAAGTATTACCCATTTTATTGAAGGTTCTCAGCAATTTTAGTATGTATTCTATGGCAACTCTCACGTTTCATTTAAATTAATAAAATATATCTACATTACCAGAGACATTACCTCAATCTTGTAGTATAAATGACGGATATTTGACCCGGATAACATCATTTAGATCCACTTGGAGTATATGTTTACCTACTGAAATGATGTAGAGATACTTGAACATTTTTTAATATTTCGCATCATATGGTTCCCCTGCATTAATAAACTCATAAATCCGGATATTGTTAAGAAAAAGAGATCGTGCTGACGTCATAGCAACTTTACCACACTTAAGCTTCCCATGTCAACAATTTAACTGAAGTTTTGTAGGTGGCGCATCTTGGACTAAGTGTTCTTGGATACTGTTGTAGCATATGGAGTTTTGGACACTTCGGTCTTGTCCGTCTCTAAAAAAATACGATTTGTGTCAAAGGATATTATTAATATTACGCTTACAAATGAGACTCTTTTAACTTTTATATTAATCACTGTATAAAGCTTCTTCATAACTCTGCCTTCCTTACATACTTTACAGGGTGGCATCATGATTTACATTCAAAGGCTTTAACCTCATAACTTCTATAATTACAGTATAAGTAGGCAACATGGTACGGGAGGCGTCGGAATTTTCACAGAAGGACCATCAGTGAGTGTACGATAACGGTGCCCCCTTCTGCTCCCTCCTTCACACACCACCACCTTTCCGACCTTAGACTCATACCCAGGAATTATATCCTAAACTGGAAATTTAAAAACTCTTCGCACATGCCTCACTTCAGTAACGAGCCATAGATTGACTTAAAAATGATGTCCAGTTTGCACCCAGACTCTAACGTAACTAGAAGAGTGTTTCATTCCAGCTTCGATCTCAAACAACTGACTTATTGAATTCGAGGTTTCTGAGCCCACATTAAACCTTCTGCACTCTTGTGAACGCATATACAATACTGACACAAACCTGCAATACGCAAACACACACCCACGATACGCCGAAAAATACCCACAATACGCCGACACCCACACCCACAATACGCCGACACGCACACACCCACAATACACCGACACACATACCCACAATACACTGACACACACCCACACAATACACCAACACACACCCACAATACACCGACACACACCCACAACACACCGACACACACCCACACAATACACCAACACACACCCACAATACACCAACACACACCCACAATACACCGACACACACATAACCACAATATGCCGACACAGTTTTACATAAACACTCTCATACACACACACACACACACACACACACACACACACACACTCTATCATATACCTTCATATAAACTGTCATTCACTCCTAATTACAGTATATATTTTCACAATAATGCTTAAATCCATTCACAAGACTATCTGGCACTACCACACAAAGCATACTCATTAACATATTGCTAAACGCCCTCAAATAAACACATCATGCACATACACTTTCTCCAAAACACACACACACACACACACACACACACACACAGACAGACCTTCACCTGTTGTCATTAAGACTTTCACACACCCCAACACACTCTCTTTAAAACGGATAAACGGGATTACTTTGTTGTCTTTTTTTTTTAGGACGAAACCCCAGACAGGCTGACTGGTTGTTTAAGAGTACGTTAGTCTTCATAGAAAAAGAAATATCCAGTAACAATTTCACTGAGTTACGATCCAGGTAAATGTCCTGTCTTGCAGATGAGTAGAAAAGGGATATAGTTTTAGGGCTCTGTATTTTCCAGTTCCAAATCTTTCCAGTAGAGAGAGTGGCCATCTGGGATCGCCGATATTGTTTGAAACATACCAAACTTATAAATGTATCTGAGCCATGATATACTGTGAAAACATTATGGCTCAATTAAACCTCTGATGTTCACATTAAAGATATGAATCTCGGTGAGTTAACATAGGTTTCGAGGTTATTCCTCAATCACTATAAAACGATAATTTCTTTCAGTGGAACTTCCTTGAATAAATTTTCACTCTTAGTAGTTTAAGCGTGAGTACGAGATGGCTATAGGGAGGCGTGTTCGTGAGACAATATAAACAGTCTTCTTTAGCCGACAGTTTATTGCTCTCCGTTAAGTCGATTTAAAAACACATAATATAATCTCTAAATCCTCTGGTCTGTGTCTAGTTTATAAAGGTTAATATGCTTAAGTACTGACAATAATAACACAAAAATGCTTTTTAGGAAATACAAATTTATGATCAGAGAAGTATAAAGACGAATACAAAACTCTAATGGGTCATAACGTCAATGAAAGCCTTTGAAATATTACGTTGGTATAATGCGAGTGTAAGCTTGAAATAATCCATGTGATACAGAAACACTGGTCACTCTGTATACTCATAGTGAGAAGCTTATAAGGTATTACACTATTTGGTGGCCCATATATATGACTATAGAAGTGGTGGTGCTTTTCTATGTCCTTGTACACACTGCCTCTGTTTAACTATTTTATTCCTTTTCACTGTTTGTGTCAAAGTTGTTTTTTTATCCTTCCTGTTTCTTTCTACCCAATCCAATCATCAGCCTTTATATGTTATTGTATCTCAGCTCAAATGGGAGACGCCTGCTACACCACATACTAGCGAGTCCACCATAACTTTTTCTAGACAATATTATAAGTGTTCTTTCAGAGAGTCTTCAGTACCTCAAGATGGTCGAAGTGTAGGAAGCGAACCATTAAAGTAAGAACAATTATTAGGAATGGAGAGTGGACAAATTAATGTTCACTGGCGTCCAAAGTTCCTCTTACATATTATATCTCCATGTTCCAGTGTGTGTCCACTTATAAATACCGTACATATGATCATTCTTGATTCTGCAGCCAAAATGAAGAGCTTTGTAGTCTTCGCTGTGCTGTGTCTTGCTGCCTTCGCTTCTGCAGAGACCAGCAATCTGATCGATGAGCAGGAGGGGTTGGAGGAGGGAACGCCTCGCTTCGGATTCCTCTCTTTTGACAACAGCGGCGCCACCCTCACCTTCAACTCTACTTCCCTCCAGTATGCCGTTGTTATTGGTATCTTCGTCGTCTTCGCCGCTCTCATCATCATCCCTCTTCTAGGATTCAACCTTGCCTCTCTCTTCTCCTCCCGGGATAGTTATGGTTACGATAACACCCACTATTATGACCCAAACACTGCCTATTCTACCTACTCCGACTACGCCAAAAGGTAAGAACGATGCTTCAAATATATGACACAATGAAGATAAAATCAATATGTGGAAAGAGTTTTACAAGATGTAATTATTTTTCTGTGAATATTTGCAGTACATCTAATTCTCTAATAGTCAATTTCTCTATCTGCCTCATCTACGTATATGTGTGTGTGTGTGTTGTCAACATATCTATTGGCTATTATGTCCAACAAAGTATCAAAAAAATTAAAGCCAATGGCTCTGTCTCCACAGGTCACTCGATCTCCTGTCCCCGGTGATGACGGCTCTTAGCGAGGCATACAAGAAATACGAGTAAGCCACCGCCTGTATTGTTACGTGTGACCAAAGGCGTCACCCAGACCACCAGGCCACTAATCATTGATATAAAAACAATTCTGGCATTGATGACATCTGTCGGCAGACCCTGACACTGATGACATCTGTCGGCAGACCCTGACACTGATGACATCTGTCGGCAGACCCTGACACTGATGACATCTGTCGGCAGACACCTGGCACTGATGACATGTAATTAACTGGTCATAGAACAATTGCTATAAGTCAGTTGATTTTTCACATCAGTTGACATCCGTCCACTGAAAAAGTCTTCAATGTCGCATATTTTTTTACTGTGACCTGCTTGCTGACTCTTTCCATTGACGGCTTGCTGCCAGGCTGGCCTCCTTCACCACCGCTTACTCTCATTTTCAAATAGCCCATGACTGAGGGCGCCTCACTGAACGAGTCCGCAGACGGGTCCACACATACACCTGTGACTCACTGAAGTCGCTGATATATGCTTGTGACTTATTAGTATAGTCGACATACATGACTCACTCGCTGATTTATGCCTGTGAATTATTAGTATTGTTGACTTATGACATACTGAACTAGTCGACACACACCTGTGACTTACTAGAATAATCGACTCACATATGTGATTCATGAGATAAGACTCATCTCATTATCTAGTTTAAATTATTTATATTGTTATATTTTTTTAATTTATTCACCTTGATGTTGTTGTTGTTGTTATTGTTACCTGTGTTTCCCTAATTTTCTTAATAAAATATTCCACCTGTACTGTAATTAGAAACTTTTACCACTGTGCCTTTAGCTGTTAAAACAGATGTTGTATAAATTAATATGTTAAATCATGTATTATTTATCCTGAAAACCAAAAAAGAATAATGTATAAGAATTTTACGATTACAAGGAGAACCCATTCAAGCTACAGAGTATAAGTGAGGTCAGAAGCATTAATTGTGTCTGCACCTAAAAGAAAGACTATTGTGTCCTACTTAGTTATTAGCTGACAATATAAACCAAAAGTTTCCAAATAATGTTCATAAGTTATTTGAATACTGTACTAGTGGACAAGAAAACATTTCCTCAACTGAAACTAAAGATCTCCGAAAGCGTCCAAACATTAGGAAGTATAACTGCTCTTCATCACAGTTCATCTATTGTGTATAAATTGTCTGTTAGATGTGATTCTTCATGTGTTGGATCCACTAAGACCGTAGGTGTGGAAGACTGTACTGGTCGACGTCTACGTAAAACACAACTCACCCGAAACAAACTACAAACCGTTACCACTACAGTGACCCACCCACTTCACTCCAAAACATTTCATTGACTAAAGTAAGAGCAATATACATTCATTAATAGAACATTATTCACATACACTAGTCACACCCAAGTCTCAATACACTGTCAATCCACATTTGAAGTAAATGGTTCGTAAGCAGCTCAATTTTATATTCAGTATAATAACTAGGTTTTGCACATATTTCCCTTTGTATTCATTCTAGATTCAGAGCTATTAGGTTTATGTAACTACCCGATATGGCTCAATTATTTTCCTACAGTGTCTTCTCTTTCCCCGTTCATACTACTACAAAATATTGGTGAAGTTGTATGTAAATTATATATATATATATATATATATATATATATATATATATATATATATATATATATATATATATATATATATATATATATATTTCATGTAGATCCACAATGAAAACGTGGATAAGATAAATCTTGATAAAATCACACGGAAAGGGAAACAACGGAGCACCTCCGTTGTGCTCTGTTGTTTCCTTTTCCCCGTGTGATTTTATATATATATATATATATATATATATATATATATATATATATATATATATATATATATATATATATATATATATATATATATTACCAGTCTGAAACCTATATCCACATCTCCAAAGGAAGGAAAATTTCCGGCATAGTTGAGATTTTTTTTTCAGTTTGAATATTAGACGTGAGAAAAAAGAGTAAGGGAAAAATAAGCAGTCATATTTGCAGAATAGCTGAGGGTCTCAGAATAAGTAGGTTGTAGTGCCTAAAGCTGCAAGACGGTGTGTGGCCGAATAACAATAATAAAACGCTACCCTCACACTATTACTTCCATTGGTGATCAAGTCCAATCATCCTGTAATCAACTAGAGAACAAGAAAGCGCTGACAGTATAGTTGGGTTATAATGGAGAAGTAAAGGTCCTGTATTACGAATAGAAAGTGAGTTTGGGTCCCGGATGTCATAGTTGTGATAATGTCGACTCTTGACTATAGAAAATGCTGATCACGGTAACGTAGTCATTGCTGTACAGCGTTATGACCTTTTAGTTCCAGCAGCTCCCCATAAAGTGAAGCTCCGGCAAAATTACTGCATCAGCTTCCTGGTGGACAGACGATGGTCAAAGAGGGTGATCTTCGGGCGTGGTTCTACCTATTGCAAGTGTGATTTTCCATCAACCTGAATAATTTATAAGTTTAATGATGATTGTTTATAACTCCTTGGATTTTTTTTATACCAGCTATTAAGTTTTTTACTCCGACATTGGGACCTTGGATTTTGTTTTTACGGCAAGTCCAAGAATCTTGGAATTTCCAATCATTCATATAAGGCAGTGTTTCTCAAACTTTTTCACTTCATTCCCCCCATGAGGAACACTCAACATGGCCCCCCTTCAGTTCTCTCCCAAGCCCCTCACAAATAATGATGAAAATCAACTGTTTTGGTTCTCTTCCTTTATTTTAATGTTTTCAATTATCAAACAGAATGCATATTTTGCTACAGTTCAATGGGATGGATGACATTGTTTCCTTTCAGTCAGTCGACTGATTCGAGGTTGAGTCACTGATAAAACACATCTCATATCTGGGTCCACATGTGTTCGTGTTCTGGGTATCAAATTCTATCTACAGGAGCGAACACAAACACCTGGATAGTTTTTGTAGGTTCTATTTACTGGATAACAGATATGTACACAAGGGAAGTAGTGCTCCTTACTCTGTCCGGTGGTCAACTGCTCTCTAGGCGACGTATGGTAAGTGATACATTAACAGCTTCCATATGTCGCCAGGCACATTAATTAGGCATGTGGGACATTGATAAATACATTGCCACACGCTACTAGCTAGGCTGAATAAATAATGTATATAAATGGAGCACATACATACATAATATAAATACAGCATACAGAATATACATACAACACGTAACCGGTTTCGGATTTTATTCTCTATTTGAAGAAGGTGGAGAAACCAGATTCACATAAATAAGTAGTAGAAAATGGCAAGAGGACTCGAAGTGCGATCTCACTAACTTTTGGATATGACTGATACATTGAGCACCAGAATGCAGTCAGAGATTTTTCTTCATAGAGGTCTCTGGCAGCAGAATCGTTCTGAGATCAAGGAATTCGATCTGAGCGAATCCGTTGGAAATGAAAAACTAGCTGCTGCACCATACTATGTAAATATCAAAACTGTACCGTATGGGTATTATGATTACACACAATGACAAGAAAAAGAAAAAAAATACAAGATTTCTCCCCTAACAAGGCAAAGTAACAAAAAACAAAACTGAATCAAAGTTTCCACATTTTCTCCAAACATATACTACTTACACTAGCCTGCCATGGCCCCCCTAATATCTTGCCGTGACCCCGTTGGGGGCCATGGCCCCCAGTTTGAGAAACACTGATATAAGGATATTGAGATACTGATAGACGAATCATTTCTTTTAGTGTTCTCATGTCGACAAAAACACGTGAATGATGATTTAAGAAAAGTGAAGAATTACCATAAGTTAGTCCTTATCATGAGTGTGTGAACTTAGGTCAACAATGCCTTATATATGATGACATGAACACACTTGGTTCATGGAGATGTCTCTGTCTCTTTCTGTTTGTGATTTTTCGATTAATTTTTATCTTTAATTTTTATGTTTTTGTTATTAAGGGATTTAATAGGCCTAGAGTCGTAAGCTTAAGCTCGGGAATTAAAAAATACAATGCGCTTATTAATATTATCAATATGCTTTAAATGGTGTTTTATTCATGTGTTGTTTTTATTCTTTACCATTATGTTTTGATTCTGTTCTTTACTTGTAATGCTTTTCATGTTTTTCGTAAACATTAAAACAGAAATGAAAGATGATGTTTGTTTTTAGTTTACGGTAAGTCAGCTACAAGAGTCATTAAACACCGTTCATTAGGTCTCAGTGTCATACAGTAAACAACTTACAAAAATTTCAGAATTATTCTTAACCAGAACAACAGTAGCGAAGTCATACCACTACGGAACACAGCATTACTGAACAAAACAAGATGAAATCTCCTTAACATTCCTGAATGACAGTTACGGAGGATTTAATTTTGACAGCAGGGGAGGAAGAGACAGAAGAGGGACAAAAATAACCACAATAAAGGATATTTGGACAATTTGACTGTCATCGTAGATCCGGGCGGAGCCCTCAACTTTCACTGATGCGCAGACGACTCAGTGTTCGTATGGCGTTACCTACCACCACAACACTACCTGGCTGCCACGCCTCACTCTGCCTTTTGTATACGAGTATAACATGCCTGGGAATGTGACTGGCATTATGAAGCAGATTTTAGTTGGTAAACTTTGATTTAAACTACATCCACACACACGAGCATATGCACTCAAGCATGTACGCGCACACACACTTATACACATACTGTGTATATCCGTGCGCGCGCACACACACACATACATTTACAGTATGTGTTCACCCATGCCATTCTCCCTTATATATTGCAACAGTATATACTTTGTCGAAACACGGAGTCGAGTGTGACAAATATACAGCAAAATGATATGAGTTATTAGTGATGTCACCTTCGTTGGCGAGCGCTCAGGAGGCTTCAGATGCCGATACTGGACCAGCAGGGTCGTCCACAGATGTTGCACATGGGAGGGCTACATCAAATGCTGGAGGGGCGGCGGCACCGTCTTTTCGGCGCTATCGTTTGTCTGCCTCGGTATGCAATCCAGCTATCTCGAATGTATTGACACCTTCTCGTGTGGTACTCCTCCAAGTGTTACGGTGTGGAGTGGTCATCTCCCAGGTAAGGGGGTTGATTTGGCTCATTTTTTTTCAGCTTTGCCTTAAGATTATCCTTATACGTTTTCAGTTGTCGCCAGCGTTACATTTACCATTCTTTTGGTGAAATTAGGGCAGCTGCTTTGGTTGTCTACAGTCGTCCATGCGGGTAGCATGACCGGTCCAACGTATTTGTTCATGTACCGTATACTATCAGCCTCGGTGCTCCTGCAATTAGTGTAAGCGAGAATAATGGAATTTGTTCTTTTGTCTTCCCAGCGGACTAGGAGGATGGAACGTAGACTACGTTGGTGAAAGTTCTCAAGTGCCTTGAGGTGCCTCCTGTATGTGACCCAGGTCTTGCTGCCATACAGCAAGGTGGGGGACCACTGATCGATATATGCACAGTTTTGTAGATAATTTCATCTTCCTACAGCTGAACATACAGGTTGCAGTCTGCCAAAGGCTTGAGACACACATCTCATCAGATGTTGGATCTCTTCATCGACGTCTGTGGTGGTGCACAGGTGGGAGCTAAGGTACTGGAAGTAGTGACATTGGAAAAGGTAGAACCGTTAACCTGGGTGGATGGTTAAACTAGGGACAAGATGGAAGAGTATTTTAGTTTTTGCATAAGTTTACCTCAAGGCCAAAGTGTGCATACACGTCTGCATATGTGTTCAGGATCTTCTGTAGGTCGTGCTCAGTGTGAGCGACGAGTGTGAGGTTGTCTGGAATACTGGAATTCAGTGATGGAAACGGC